TTTTTCATATTTTTATTAGGTGCGTCTCACTAAGATGTATACACGTTTTAAATTTCAAATCATTCCGATTAGTAAAAAAAAGAAAAGAAAATTGAAACACTACCCGAGAACTGTGACTGTGCAATGAAGTTTGGATGGTGATGAGGGCAGAGTTTTGTTAGGCTACACGAATTGGTGGTGCAAACCATAGTTAGCAAGTCGGGGACTATCAATAAATCGGCTCACCATAATATCAAAAACAAATCATTTTTATTTTAAAAAGTCGGATGAAAAAATTGGGAAAACAATACGGATCGCCAAAAATACTTCATATAAAGATATTACTAATATATCATATTAGGCTAAAAAAATCGAAGTAAAAAAATCAGATAAATTTATAATATTAGAAATTTTAAAATTCTAAAAACTAAAAATTATGTCAAAGACATCAATAACTAATTCATCCATAAAAACTTTACTAAACTAATATAATTAAATTAATTAATTTAGATGCCTCGTGACTCTCATCCAATCATCGACTATTAAATACATAATTAACTAGTATATACCAAAAAAAAAGTACGATATAAATCTACCCACTAAATCCTTTAAGAAACATCACACCTACTTATTACTTACCAAAAACAAATATACTATATAAATTTATTCATTAAACACTTAAACTATTACTACGTAAATTCATAAAATACTTAAACGGTGTGGTTTCTATAAGGTTGCAACCTTAAACAATCCAATTAAGACGTACCTTCAAATTGTATCATAATATGTAATTTAAAAATTATTAGGCTTATCTAAAAATCTATTTATATATATAATTATAAAATTTAAAACTTCAAAAATAATTAAAATCAAGTAGTTCCATAACCATATGAAAATATTGAAAATAAACAATCTAGATAATGTATAGCAAAATGCATTATTTTTGAAATTCAATTCTTTTTTTTTATATTCATACATGGCGATATTTAGACGACCAAATTAGAGGTCAACATTAAAACTAACATTTTCTTATGGATTTTTGAGGTAAGGATGCATGTTTGATAATATGAAGTGTTTTCTTGGAATTTAGAACTTCCTAATACTATTCATGTTTTGCAACGCTTTAAAAAACGCCGAGTAAAACCGGACTCGCCCGGTTCGACTCGGAATTCGCGAAAAGGGACCGGATCGGTTGAAAAATCGGAAATCGTCCGGTTCTAGAGAGAACCGGACGATTTCGCACAGTGACTCGCCGATTCACTGTACGGAATCGGCGAGTCCGAACAGTGAATCGGCGAGTCCGTACGGATTTTTTTTTTTTTTTTTTTGTTTTGTAATCCATGATAGATTTTTTTGTAATACTTGATCGC